ATTTGACAGAGAGAGACACAGCGAGAGAGGGAACACAAGCAGGGGGAGTGGGAGAGGGAGAAGCAGGCTCCCCACAGAGCAGGGAGCCCGATGCGGGACTCGATCCCAGGACCCCGGGATCATGACCTGAGCCGAAGGCAGTCGCTTAACCAACTGAGCCACCCAGGTGCCCAACCCAGAGCTCTTTAGAAGGTGTGCTCAGGATGGGTCATGGGTCATTAGGTATCACTCCTCTGCTCTTACCTGCCCAGAAGGTCCTCACCTGCCAGGGTGCTGGTGGCTGCCGAGACACCAAAGAAACCTCCAGGAGCCAAAAGCAGGGGCCCCGTGTCAATGCAGACCTCATCTAGGTCGTTGGGAGTGAGGCCACTGTTCAAAGACACCTGAGGGGCACAGAGGACTGAGCCCCTTGCGCATGGAACCCCCTCCTCTCCCCTGACCCTAGCATCATCTCCACCTCTGAGTCACTGACTCCCCCGGTTGTAAAGGCGGCCGCAGGGCCTGGTGTCAGAATGGCGTGGAGGGACGCGCTCACCTGGTCTCGCGCTAGCCCTCCTAAGTATGTACTCTGGGGGTTAGCAATCTGTGCAGGGAGGAGGGTCCCACGAGAGCGCCGCCCATATGTGCCAGGGACGCCGTGTGGTTGGGGTCATGGGTGCTCACATAGCAACTCTATAGCTCTGAGCCCTATGGTCTGCCCCTCCCTGCCCAGAGAACCTGCAAAAGCAGGAGGGGCTACTCACGCGCAGCCTCTGCCCCCAGTAGGTGATCCGTGCTCTGAAGGGGTACGGCAGGTTGCGGAAGTCCCGGTGGCAGGAGCCCAGCACCCCACTGGCTCCGTCCCTGTGGGCACTTGGAATCCAGCCTGGCCGCACAGGACCCAAGGCCGGGCCGGTGGGGGCGGTCCCAGAGGCCATTCTGCGTGGGCCTGCGGCACCCCCACCCTCCCCACTGGGTGACCTGGGACGGGACAGGTCCCTGTGGTCTAGCTTGAGTCTCCCTTGCTGTAGTGTGCTTCTTTAGCAGGAGAGAGAGGAGTGGGAAAGCAAGCCTTGCCTGGCAGAGTGCTGGGACTCGGAGTTTACAGAAGAGGCCAAGGCCTTCCTGTGACTTTTCTCTTGGGGGACAGAGCCTGGACCAACAGTGGAGTTCTGCCCTCAGTCCCCCAGGCCCACTGCATCCTCCCATTGTCCCTCCCTTAACCTCCACGTGCCCCTGCGCCTCTGGAAAGGCTTCTCCAAGCTCGAAGCAGCAGGACAGACTCAGGACGGGCAGCACGAGCCGAGGTCTGTGGGCTGGAGGGCTCCCGAGGGTCTCCGGGCACACAGGCACACAGCCCAGAGCGGTCGCTGCTGCCTTCAGCCAGGAGGGAGGCAGCACAGAGCAGGGAGAAGCCACAGCTCCGAAGAGCAGCCCGTGGGACCTTGGGCAAATTACCACATCCTTCCAGACCCGAGTTGCCCCATCTTTAAAATGAGGATAATAATTGAAACTACCTCATAACATTGTTATGTTATAACTAAGACAGTGAGTGCAAAGTGCTTGGCGCTGTGCCCGGCATACCGGTAAGCTCTGCTCCATAAATGCTGGCAATTATTCTAATTGTTATGAGCTAAGGGATGTTTGCTAAGAGACAGCGAGGAGGCAGCCGGGCCCGGGGTGGGACGGGCAGCCTCATCACCCGGGAGAAGGGGAAGGCACTGGCAGGCGGGCAGCTGACGCAGGGGCAGGGCGTGGGCCATCTGGCCTCAAATCTCAGCTCTGCACACAGCTGTGTGACCTCGGGCAAGTCCCTCCACCTTTCTGGGCCTCAACGTCCTCCCTGTAATCAGGGACTAATAATCCCCCCTTCTCCAGAGTGTTGCTGATCAGATGAGATGTTATGAGTGACAGCGCCCAGCACAGGTTCTGCCCTGTGTCGTTTCACACCCGGCCCCCCCAAGGGGGGGCTGTTAGGTTGAATGAATTGAGGACTCGGTGGGGCAGTTCCGGGGAAGTGCAAGCAAACTTCCGGCCCCTGCCCCGGAGGAGGCCCAGCTGGGACCAAGCTGGAGGGAGCCCGGGGCAAGAGGCCCAGGGCGGGGTGGGGGGTGGGGGGCTGTCAGAGGCTGGGCCAGGGGCACAAGTCGGCGGTGTGGGTAACCGCTGAGGCTCTCATGGCCCAGGAGAGGGGTAGGGGTCCGTCCAGACAGGCCCTTACCCAGGCGGCTCGTAGCGCGTGTGTCCATCGCTGGCCAGCACGCTGACAGCGGGGCTGTTCTGCATGGGACGGGATAAGCAGCCTGAGCCGCGGGCACAGGGAGGAACATGGCAGTGTGGATGGGGGGGGCAGATCACGACTCACCTGGGTATCCTGGGCCGAGGAGTCGAAGAGGATCCCGATGCCGTCCCACGAGGCCGGCCCCTCCAGGACAGAGCCTACTTGGCCCCTGCCCCGAGTGTACCACACGGCCTGCGGGTCCCCAGCGGTTCAGCCCGGGGGTCCCTCAGGACACCGGAACCTCGGGCTCCCCACCCGCCTCCCGGCCTCACCCCCTCTGCCCAGCCTTGGTTGGGGCCACTCACCACGCCCTGGGCTCCCCGGCGCCCCGGCCCGGTCACCCTCATCTGCACCTCCACCTCCCAGGCAGAGAAGAGGACGGGGACCCTGCTCCACACGGCGCCGCTGCGGTTCTGCATGGATGGGGCCAGCCGCACCTCTTCCAGGCCCAGTATGGCATCTGTGGACCAGGGCAGCTCAGGCCCGGGGCCCCACCGTCCCCACTTCCCCCATCATTCTCTCTCTGGCCTGGGCTGGGCCAGGGGAAAAAAGGAGGTAACATCAAGGCCTGCCAGGAAATAACAGGCCAGCTGTTGGACACGGGAACCCCAGCACAGCTGTGGGTGGGGGGGCTTTGCCAGGGGAGGGCAACAGATGCCAGATCCACGGGGTTGGGGGGAGGTTTACCTGCCTTCTCACACAAGCCTCACCACAAATCTGTGCAGCCTGCTTTTAAAAGACCCCATTTTACACACAAGGAAACTGAGGCTCAGAAGAGTTAAAGAACTAAGTGGTTTGGAACTCAGCTCCATCTGGTTCCAAAGTACAGCTGACCCTTGATTGATGGCATGGGTCCATTTATACGCAAATGTTTTCGATAACTGCAGTATGATACTGCAAATGTATTTTCTCTTCCTTACGATTTCTTTTCTTTTTTTAAAAATTTATTTATTTTAGAAGGAGAGTGTGAGAGGGCACAAGCGTGAGCAGGGGGAGGAGCAGAGGGGGAGGGAAAGGGAGGGGGAAAGAATCTCAAGCAGACTCCGCGCTGAGCGTGGAGCCTGATCCCAGGACCCTGAGATCATGACCTGAGCCAAAACCAAGAGTCGGGCGATCAACGGACTGAGTCGCCCAGGTGCCCCTCGTCCTTATGATTTTCTTGATAACACTTTCTTCTCTCTGGCTTACCCTATTATAAGAATCCAGTATATAAGACATGTGTTATAACACATATATAAAATATGTGTTCCTTGACTGTCTGTGTATCAGTAAGGCTTCTGGTCAATATTAACAGTTAAGTTTTGGGGGCATCACAAGCTATACCCTAATTTTCTACTGTGTGTGGGCTCGGCTCCCCCAACCCCTGCATTGTTCAAGCGTCAGCTTCTTCCACCACAGGAGAGATTTGTGTCTACCCCTTTCTGTGTCTCAGGTAGGAAACAGTCCCTGTAAAGGAAAAGGACGTGCCCAAGGCCACAGGCCAGCAGAGTGCTTTGCTAGGACAGTCACGCTGGGGTTCAGGACTCCAGGCTGTGGAAGCCTGGAGAGACTCCAGTGTGGCCACATGAGGCTGGGGGCTTCCTGGTGGGGGGACCTAGGGGACATTCAAAGGTGAGGAAAGCATGAAAGCAAAGGTGGGAACTGGCTGGCAGGACTGTGAGGAAAGGGTGGAGGATGGAGTGTGGGTGTGAGAATTCTCAGTGGCTGTAGCTAGGGGAAGACCTATGTGGAAGGAGGAGGGAAAGGGGAGAGAAACTGAGGCAGGCTTGGCAGGAATCAGGGGAAGGGAGATCAGAGGTCTCACCCCAGCTGGCTCCCCACCCCTCTGATCTGCCAGCCTGGAACCTGGCCCAAGGCCCAGGCCTTGCCAGGACTTTCCGGAGACTGCTAATCCAGGCTGTTTGCTCAGCAAGGCCAGGGCTGGGGGCGGGGAGGCTCAGAGGCTGTAAGGCCAAATGTCCTGGGGGCCCTTAGAGGCCACCACTGCATCCAAAGTGACTTGTAGGAGGCAAGGATTGTCCACTGTATACGACACTTATGCATTCAGCTTTATGTGGATTGTCCATGAGACCTCATCCCAAACTGCGGGCTCCTTGAGTCTGATAGCCCTATGTCTCTGGGCTGGGCACAGAGGGGCATGGTGGTGGAAGTCTGATGAAAGGATGAGTGAATGAATGAACGGACAAGACGAATATCACTGCGTGATCTTGGAGAACGTGCTTCTGCTCCCCTGTATGGTCTGGGACACTCCAGACTTGACCGGGCCCAGAACAGGGAGTGTTGGTTGTACAGGCCCTGCCATTGTAGGCCTGAGGCAGAGCCTGGCTTGGTGCTGTGAGAATCAGCCCCTTCCTTTGTTTACCTCCTGTGCCTCTGTGAGGGAAGATTGGGCCAAAGACCCTCCTGACAAGGCCTGTCATCTTAAAGGGATATTTGTTCTGGTCTCAGTCAGGAATCGTGCCCTGTCTCAGAACTTCCCTCTCATAGACACAAACACATAATGGATCTGCTTTCTCTCTTTGCTTTGCCTGCTAGGTGGCTCTGAACCAGATCCATGGCCCAACTCTGAAGGGCGGGCAGACCGCACAGCATGTTTTGGTGACAAGTCATGTTCCTGGACTCATCTCCGGCCTCAGTTTTAACTCTTAATCTTGTTCATTCCTAATTTAAGCTCCTCGGTACTGCCTGGGTCCTTATAAGTCCTCAGAAAGCCTTTTTGAGGGGTGCCTGGGTGGGTTAAGCGTCTGACTCTTGATTTCGGCTCAGGTCAAGATCTCAGGGTTGTGAGATTGAGCCCCACATCGGGGAAAAAAATCCTTTTTGAACGAGATCGAGTAGAAGACAGACTCTGTAGGCCTGGGCTTGGAAGTTCCCGAAGCTAAGATGCTCTCATGCCTGCTTCCACCCAACACACACACACAGGGCAGAGCTGGTGCCCTCTCTGGCAAAACAGCTGGCCATGAGGGTACCTCCTTTCAGGCAGCCCCAGTTCTCCTGGCGGCAAGGAGCAGGGAGGAGGGAGGCGGGTGCTGGTCCAAGTTGCCTTGTGTCTGTGTGTCTGAGGCTCAGCATGTGAGCGAGCATGTGTGTACTTACGGGTCCAAGAGGCAGAGGAAGAAGAGGGGGTCCAAGGAGAGGCAAAAGGAAAAGAGGGAAGTCCTAGCGCAGAGAAAGAGAGAGGCAGAGAGGAGAGACTGAGACTGGTGGATGGGGGTGGGGTTGTGGTGGGTGGAGGAGGAGACAAGCCCTCTTGGGCAGCGGCTGGTACCGGCAGGCCCGCTCCCCACCAAGTCACAGCCGCCTGCCCAGAGCTCGTCAGCCCCTCCAGCGGGTCCCCACCCCACCCCTCACCTCCATGATGACTCCAGAAGGGTATTCCAGCCCCAGGCAGCGCCAGTCTTGGTCCTTTGAAGCTGAGCTTATACTCAAACCTTCTCTGAGGAGGACTGGCCCCCTCAGGGCTGTGGGGGCCCAGGAGCAGGAGGAGGAGAAGGCAGAACATGGGCTCGGGGCCACCGACCACCAGCATTGTGAAGGGATCTGGTGTCCGGGCCCCTGGGAGGAGCTGTAGCTGGGAGGCCAGGGAGGGGCTCCAGGGACCGGGCCCGGGAGGGAGGAGCTGGTTTCTGGCACTGTCCTCTCCCTTCATCCACGACACAGACATCCTGTTCCTTCCAGGCCTGACCTCAGGCCCAGCCTCTCCCTCACCTCCAGCCTGGCCCCTGACCTCTCGCCCACCTGGTTCTGCCCCTGTTCCTGGGCTCAGGCCATCTTCCCGCCTTCCCTCAGCTCCAGCAGCTGTAAGGCCTCAGGGAGCACAAGGACAGGCCCCGGCCCTCAGCAGCCCCGGCCTCTCCCCTTGCTCAGGACGGGCCTCCACCTTCTGCCTCCTTCCTGCAGATAGGTGACCCGACTATCTGGACTGCCCGGTCATCCTTGGCCTTCCCTGTCCTGCTTGCTCCGCGGGGGCGCTCAGCTCAGTCCCACATTCGCAACACTCACGCCTCCAAGCAGCCGCATTTCCTCCATGCATAAAGTACATGAAGAAAAGAAAGGGAGTCCTAACAGACAGAGCCAATAAATGCAATGTGTGGACCTTGTTTGGAGTCTAATTTTAACCAACGGATGGGGGAAAAATGAGACTGTTGGGGGAAATCTGAACAATGAATACTTGATTAAAATAAGGAGGTATTGTTAAAGACCTTAGGAGTAATAATGGTATTGTGGTCACATTTTTTAAAAAAGTGTTCTGTCTTTTAGAGAAACGTAAGAAAGCTGTACCAATGAATTGATATCTAGGATCTGCTTCCAAGGGTCCCGGAGCTCAGAGCTTGGTGGGGGGGGAAGGGGGCATGGAGGGCACAGGATTGGTCTGGAGCTGCTGTTCAAGCTGGATGGTGAGGATGTGGGCGTTCATTAGAGTCTTCTCTCTACTGCATATGTTTATACGATTATTTCCATACTAGAAATGTTTTAAAAAAGAAATCCTATATTTCAAATATTTTCACTCAAATAAATGTTCATTTTCCCGAGTGGCTGGCTCATTTGCCAAGAAATCTGGCTAGCTGAAGTTTCACTGTACTTTGTAAGTTCCCAGTAGGATTAAGTTACTGAAGCTCTACAAATTAATTAAAATCAAGGCGATAAGTGGAAAATTTTAGGACACACTAAAAGGAAACCTTCATTTCTCAACAGTAAGCCCTGGGCCACCTCCACCCACTGTCCCCCTCACCTTCACGGCCCCAGCCATGCTGTGAAGGGCAGCATGTGGATAGGGGTGGCCCCGCTCCCTCGCCCCCCACTCAGTCCTTCTCGCTCCTGCCTTCACTGCCCCAAGACAACAGCTCCAGCAAGGCCTGACAATGACCCTGTTCTTTGCTTCTAGTGGACACTTCTCAACCTGTCTCTGCCACGTGGAAAGCCGCAAAACATTCGCTCCCCTGGCCCTGGCGGCCTGGGCCTGGCCCCTTAGCGGCTCCTTTGCCGCTGCCCTTCCTCCCCACCCCCTCACGCTGCGGCTCCTTGTGCTTACGCCTCTCCTCACTCTCCACCTGCTTCCTGGCCAAGTTCGCCTGTGCCCACGGCCTCCAGCACTGTTGCTGTGCTCATGATCCCCAAACCTCTGCGGTCAACCAGCCTTCTCCTGGAGCTGGAGGCCTGAATGATGTCTAACTCTGCAGGGGACATCTCTGCTTGGATGTCCCAAAGGCCCCCAGACAACACACCCATACTAAACTCCTGATCTCCTTGTCCAAGGCTAGGGTCTCAGGGGTGGCAGCCCCTACCCCGTACCTGGTCAAACCAGAACAAGCTCTTCAATCTGCTCTTGCTACTCTTAGACCGCCTTACCTGATCCTCTAATCTCCGAGCCTGTCTCTTTATCTGTAAAATGGGGGAATAATAGCATGTATCTCCAGGAGTTGTTTGGAGGGGTACATGAGATGACATCTAGTGTGTTGAGAATACGGCCTGGCCGATAGTGAGCACTCGGATCAGTACGATGTTAACTATTTACTTTCCTCTCCACCTCCTATGGCTTCCCCAGCCCGGGCTGCCACCGGTCACCTCCTGCCTGACCAGCTGCAGCCTCCCCACTGTCTCCCTGTCTCCACTCTGGACACTCCCAGCCCCAGGGCAAGACTCTAGCCAGAATTATTTTTCTAAAATGCAGATCTGACCACATCACTCCTTGGTCCTGAACACTTCAATCACTCCTGGTCATCTTTGTACAAAGTTAAACTCATGGGATCTGCAGAGTCGGGTGGGGTCTGGGCCCTGCTTTCTCTCCAGCCTTGCTTGCTCCTGAAAGCCCCCCACTGGCACCTGAGGCCCAGCCGTACCAGCCTATGGCACCCCAGTACCTTTGCCCAGGCAGTGTCCTTCTGTTGTCAGAAGCACCTCATTCTCTGTCCCTGCCCGAACTCCAGGCGTCTGAGAAGCCACCGAGAGCCTCCTGCTCCCTCCTCCTCGCCAGATTTCTGGGCATCAAGTTGAGCCTAAGTGGGATCCCCATTAGTCATGAGCTCCATGAGGGTAAGAACCCTGTCTTGCTTGTCTATGCCAAGCCAGCGGCCAGCATAGGGCAGAAGGATGAGAGAAAAGAAAGGAGGGAACAAAAAAGCCATAGGCCGAGTGAGAGAACGGAAGGAAGGAACGGGGAGGACTCACAGGCCACCAGGTGGAAAGCCCTGGCTACCTGGGCCTGCACGCCCGCGGGTCCCTGTCCGCTGGCCCCCGCCCCTTCTCTCCCGATCCCACGGCCACGCACCATTGCAGGGTTCTGAACCCCAGCCAATTGTCAAAATGCCCCGCCAGTGAAGTCAGGCTGGTAGCATGACATTGGCCACAGCGGGAGTACACCACAGATGTCAGCAAACTAAATCAGAGCTCCCTGCCACGCACCCCCGGGTCTAGCCGTGACCGTCACTGGAGCGCAGCCAGTGGCTTCCTCCCTGGGTGCTGGCTCCCACTGCAGGCACACGCCCTGTGCTCCCGCGGGTGTCCAGCCACCGCTCCTGCTCTAAGGAAGGCTCCCCCTGCAATCACTGCCACTCCTGCACCTCTGTCTTTGCCCCCTCAGCACGTGGATTCGGCCTGCAGGTAAACGTCCTTCCCTTTGGCATCAGACTTGCTCACGCCTCTGCCACCTTCAAATCTCCTAACTCGTCCTCTCTCCCCTTCTCACAGCTCTTACAATCTCCCAAGACTGGCAGGCTTCCCGCAGAGCTCACACCCCCTAGCCAGGCCTGGAATCTGCACCTCCGCAAACTCCGGTTTTGCTGAAGTCACCAACCCCAGTGGCAGGCTCCAGTCTTCTGGGAAGGAGGGACCTGCTGGCTTGTCTCTTGCCTCTGCCGCAGGGCAGTCTGCCACCTCCCTCTCTGTACCTTGCCTGGTCAGCCTCCTGTCCTTGGCCTTTGAACGTGAAGAGCTCTCCCCAGCATGGTCCTGGGCCCTCTTCCCTTCTGCACGTCCTCCCAAAGTGACCTCCGCCTTGACCATGGCTTTCAATCCGAGCCACACACTGATCTGATTCCCCGCTCCAGCCTCTGGGTTCCAACCTTACTCATCGCCTCTTGGCAGTTCAATGGCGCACCTAAGACTCAGCACGCCCTTAGTAGAACTCATGATGTGTGCTGAACAGGAGTCTCCTGGTGCCCCCCCGCCCCTCCCCACAGCCATTCTGCTCCTCAGGGGTTGCCCTGGCTCCTCGGCCCCCTCACCTACATCACGAAGCCATTGGCAAGCTCACTCAGCTGCTTCTCCCATCCCTCTGGAGGCTGTCCACTCCCGCCATCCTCTCTTACACTGATCAGTCCTCCCTGTGCTCCCTGGAACTTCTCCAATAGCCTGGGTGATTGTTTCAAAAATACCTTCCTGCTCAGAACCTGTCACCAGCTCCCCACGGCTCTCAGGGTGACAAAACCCAATCCTTGCTCCAGCCTTCTCTCTCCACCTCAAGGCTCCCTGCATAGCTTCACCATCTTTCCAGAGACCCCGGAACAAACTGCCCTCCCTCCAGTCCCAGCATCTCTTCCTGGAATGCTACTGCTCACCCCCACCTCCTGTTCACCCTTCTGATCTCAGCTTACATGCTGCCTCTTACAGGAAGCCCTCCCTGACCTATAGACAAGATCCGATTCCTATGGCATACATGTTTTTTCCATAGCACTTATCAGTTTGTGGTTGTCTGTGTGATTGTCCTCCCACCTGGAAACTCCACAAGGTCTGTTTTGCTCATTGCTGAGCCCCAGTCCTAGCACAAAGCAGCTATTCAATATATCTGCTGTTGAATGAATGGTCTGGTCTTGGAAAAACGAGGCTGGTGATGTACAGAGGGGATAGATCAGGGGAGACTGCTGATCTGGGCTGGGGAGGGGAGGGAGCAGACCCCGGCAGCTGGGCTGCAGCGGGCCAAGGCGCGCACTAGACACATGGCAAAGTCGGAACTCCCTGGATTTCGGGTCCTACTGGCTGGGACCGGGTAAGAGCCGCAACGGGACAAGGGGACCCCCACCCCCGGTGCCTGTCTCAGTGAATGAAATGAGCCTCCCCCAATCTTTGCAGCTTCTGCCCTGACCACCGACCCTGGGCAACCTGAGTGAGGGGAGAAAATGCCACGGCTGGCCCTCATTCTCCATCTGTGGCCCCCAAGATGGCGTGGGGAAGGCCCTCCACCTGTGTGTCCTCAGGCACGGGGCTGGGCACACGCTGGGATGCAGCCGTGCTGTTCCATCTTGGGTGAGCTGTGAGAACCACCAGCAGCTCAGAGCCTCCCCTTCCCTCACGCCCCGGGTCCGCACCTTCTCTGAGCCATGAGCCATTTATCTTGCCTCCAACCAGGGACCCCCGCTTCCATCTGGTCAGGCCCGGCTTCCTTCCCCATCCTTGGCTCCGGCCCTCCTTGTGCTGTCGGCTTGAGCACCAGGGCAGGGCAGGCAGCCGGGGCCCTCCCAAGCTCAGGACGGCCGCCTGGGCCCGGGCCACAGCAGGACGGTGGGGGCGAGGGGAGGGCTCCCCCACGGCAGACACAGGACACTCGCTCGTGCAGCGGACACAAAGCGGCGGCTACATCTCCCGGCCGTGCTCCCAGGGCAAGCACAGCCCCACTCACAGAGACAGGGGGATGGACAAGATGGCACAGAACAGGGGGCCGGGCGGGACAGGCAGGCTGGGCGGAGGAAGCGCCGAGGCCGGGCAGCGGTGTCCTCATGTGGTTTATTACGATTCCATCTCACAAGGCAGGTGGGCGGGTGGCAGTGGCACACGAATGGACTCCAAGCCCCCGACAGACGTCTGCCTCGGGCGCATGCAAACAGTGCAACGTGGTCAAGCGCAAACACGGGGCGACCGAGGCGACACGGGACACGGAACACGGGCACAAGGCTGGGGTGATGGGTCCCTAGAGAGGGGCCTGGTCTCCCCAACCCCGGTGGGCAGGACAGGAAAAATAAGATTCGTACTTCTTGTAAAATGCCCATTTGCTGGGTACTTTCTTTCTCCTTATCTTGAAAAATAATAAAAAATAAACACACGGGAAAAAATCTCAAAAAAGGAAAGGAATAAAACTCTAAGAAGGCGAGAGATGGGAGGCCAGGAGAGGCCTGACCACGGTAGGGGACATCTGCCTCATGCTCCCCAGCCTCCTCCCTTCCTGGCCCTTCGGTGGGGCTCCCGAAGCCCCATGGGTGGGTCCATGAGAAAAGGTGCCAGGCCTAGGCAGGATCTCTGGGGGGCCAGAGGGGGCGCAGGCTGGGGCAGACGGAAGAGGCCCACGGGCCCGCTGGGCTCAGTTCAGGCTTGGGCCCAGCAAGTGGGGGCACCAGGTCCACAATCTCTCCAGGTTCAGTCCCCGCAGGCCCACGACCTGGGCGGGGCGGGGCGGGGCGGGGCGCTGGGGGCCCGGCGGTCACAGGTGCAGCTCGTGGGTTTTGATGTGCTCGAGCTGCTCCCGGAGCTGCAGGAAGGAGGGCCGCACGGCAGCATCCAGGTGCCAGCAGTTCCTCATGACCTCGTAGACCGCAGGCGGGCAGCCGTCGGGGGCGTCCATCTTGTAGCCCTTCTCCACCCGAGGGACGACGTCCTTCAGGGGCTGTGGGCAGGTGGGCGGGGTCAGTCCGTGCAGGGCCTGACCCCCCCCGGGGGCCCCGACGCAGTTTCAGGGATCCCCTTCAGACCCGGGCTTCAGAGACAGGCCCAGGAGGCACCTGGAAAGTCCCGAGGGCGGCTCTGCGGCTCAGAACGGAAGGCAGGGCCCAGAACGGCTCCCTCTCCTGCCCAGCCCTCCCTTGCTCCAAAAGCCTCACCATCAGCCCCAGCCATGCCCCGGCCCCAGCACCCGACTCACAATTCTTGGATAAGGCACTCGCCCAAAAGAGTAGATTTCCCAGAGGAGGATTCCGAAACTCCACACATCAGACTTGGTGGAGAATTTCTGCCATGTGGGTGGGGGAAACAGCGTCAGGTCCTGGGAGCTGGGGATTTGGCGGGGGTGGGGAACCCAGAACCCCCATCCCCCACTCCTCAGGCTCTGGGAAGAGGCCTGTCCCACCTTCTCTCTCAGGGCCTCCGGGGCTGTCCACTTGACTGGCAGCTTGCCTGTGTCCTGGGTGCTGGAGGCCTCCTTGGTGAGGCCGAAGTCGCTGACCTTGGCCACGTTGTCCTCGGACACCAGCACGTTGCGGGCAGCCAGATCCCGGTGCACGAAGTTGTTGCCCTCCAGGTATTCCATGGCCTCGCAGACATCTCTGGGAGAGAGCCAGCCATGCGTCTCCTCAGACGGGGCTCCCGCAGCCGGGCAGGGTCCCCCCCCAGTGGGTGCTGCTTCACTCACAGTGAGAACTTGAGGAGACAGTCTCCGCCCAGCACCGACCGACCCCTCGACCGCAGATAGTCCACCAGGCTCCCCTGGGGCAGGACAGACAGACCAACCGGCCCCACAGGTCAGACTTGCCCTCCAGCCCTCTGGAATCCCGGGCTGGAGCTGGGTGAACACTTGAGGGAGATATGAGGAGAGGGGAGGAACGGAGGAAGGGCCCGACATCACTGCTGAATGAGTAGTAGGTTCTACGAGCTGGCCACTGCGCTCAGCAGTTTTCATGCATTCGCCCTTAAATCTCATAAATCTCTAAGGTAAACTCTGATACTATCTCCATTACACAGATGTGGAAATCGAGGCTTGGCAAGGTACACAACTTGTCACAGGGAATAAATGACGAGTCAGGACAAAAGCTGAGCCCTGCCTGGTGACTTCAGAGTTCAGAGACAGGGGCCCGAGGGAGCAGTGAGGGGCTTGGGACATCTGGAACGCCCGAGTGCTCGGCGCCAGGACGGGGGCGGGCCCTCAGGGCAGGTGCACACCTTGGCCATGTACTCAGTGACGATGTAGAGCCCGCCTTTCTCTTCCACGATCACGCCCAGAAGCTGTACCAGGTTGCTATGCCGAAGTTGCCTGGGGCAGGAGGGGGGTGATCAGAGCCTGCCAAGCCTCCCCATCTCCTCCCTGTCCCGGGGTGACCTCCGCACCCAGCCTCGGCCCCCAACTCACGTCATGACAGAGGCTTCGGCCAGGAAGGCCTGGGCAGTGGCGTCATTTTTAATGCACTTGACGGCGACTTTGTTCCCTCGGTAATCACCGAGCATCACGTCTGGGGGAAGAGGGCTGGAGGTTGTTCCCTGGACCCTCTGCAGGCCCTTGGCCCTCCCAGGGCTGCCACCCCCTCCCGCTCACCTCCAAACTCCCCCTTCCCAATGGTCTGCAGCAGCTTCAGGTCCTTCATGTTCAGTGCCCAGCCGCCTGGCGGGGGGAGGGGGTGTCAGTGAGGGGTGAAGCCAGAGCGGGCGCACAGCACACACAGCCTGGACCCTGTGTGTGGCGTTCCCTGGAGGTCCCCAGAGCCTCCGGGATGGGGGCAGTGCCAGGGAGCCTGGGTGGGAGGAGGCGGGTAGGCAAGTGAGGACAGGGAGTGGGGATGGCACTCACTGCGGAAGAACTCATCCTGGGCTGCCACTGTGCCCTCCATGACCTTCGGCTTGATGAGCCGTGTACAGAGCCCGTCTGCGTCCGAGGTGTAGTGCTGCGGAGGGCCGGGCAGGCGCTCAGGGCCGGCCCACCGAGCGCCCCCAGCCGCTCACATGCACTTCCGGCTCTAACCGCCAGAGGGCGGCGGAGGCCGAGCCCACCCAGCCGGGACTTGCTTTGGGTTGGGAGGGCTTCTCATTTCCCACCGGGGAAGGATTAGGGAGGCCCCAGACTCAGATCTGTGACCCACTTCCCAGTCACATCCAAGTGCTGGACAGATACCGGGCTGTTGCTACCACGCCGGGCCACGGGCCTCACCAGCATCCTGAGGCGGAGGCAAGCCCTGGCTCAGTCCAGACACCAGGCTCTGGCCAGATGTGCCCAGGACCCTCCCCAGCCACAGGAGGCATCTGCCGCTGGGGCTCCAGGAAGCCAGGTGTGGCTGGCGGAACTGGCTTCAGGAATTGCAAGGCCACGTGGCCATATCCATGCAGGTGCAGGAGCCCGGGGGGACCCCAGCCGTCAGGGTACAGCTCATGAAGACATGCTTACATACACACACGTGGGCGTGAAGTTCTGAGGGCCTGGAGGGAAGCCTAGTTCTGGGATGAGCCAGACCCAGCTTCTAGGCCTGGCACCTCTAATGTACGGCTGTGTGATCTGAACCTGTCTCCTGGCCTGTGAAATGGGGACAGGGCCGCTCTCCCTGTGGTGGCACTGTGGGGGTCAGAGGTCAACCCTGGCACAGAGCAGGCGCTTCGTCAAGGCGGGGGGGTGGACACGCAGGCTCCCAGAGGCCAGGAGAGGTGGGACTGTGCCGGAAGGCAGGCCTGGCTCACCTCTACCAGCTGCATGAGGTTCTCGAAGTACACCTCCTCGTCGATGCTGAGCTTGCTGGCGTGGTACATGATGCGGTAGTGCTCGACCTTGCCATCACAGCTCACACACAGCGTGTAGTCCCCGGGGTAGTTGGTGCTCTCCCGCACCAGGAACAGGCCTGTCTCTGGTGGGCACAGAAGCCGCTCCGCCTGCTCCCGTGTGATCTTGCCATGGAACCAGCTGGGGGGAGGCCAGGCCAGGGCTCATGGCGGCTGGAGGGTACTGACCCCCACACGTCTGCCAGGCTCCACTTTCTGGCTGGCACCTCGCCACAGCCCCCACCAGCTCAGCCAGCCATCGGAGGCCTTCATCTTCTGCTTGCCACCCTTCTTCCTTTGGTCCTCCCAGGCCCACCCCCCACCTTTGAGGTCTAGCACCCATGCCCTTCCCCTCACCTCGAAGAGCCTTCACACATTCCAACCCCTACTCTTGCCTCTGTTTTCCTGACTCCTCTAAGGGGAACCAGGGCTTCCTGTCCTCCTTCCTCCCCGCACTGGAGACCCCGACTGCTCCTCAGGAGTACTCACGGCATGAGGCTGAGCTTGGTGCCGGCCTTCACGCCCTCCCGCTTCTGGACATAGTTGGCTGGGATGATGCCCTCACGGCCCACCTTGTTCTTGGCTTTGTACCAGTTTGGGTCCTGGGGAGAGGGCAGCCCAGACACACCTTCAGGCCCACCGTTGCCTGCAGGGGAGCCCGGACCCAGCAGGAAAGCCCAGAGGTGGGAGGGGGTAGGTGTGGCCGTGTGAGGTCCCCGATTACCTTGGTGACCGCCACAATGGTGAGCACATCTCCTTTGCAGAAGGGAAGGTCCTGCTCGGCAGTGCCGTGGAAGTTGTACTTGGCAATGCATTCTGTACCGGATGGCCAGGCGGCCTGCAGGGCAGGTGACAGGTGGGCAGGTGGAGGCAGCCCGGAGCCCATCTCCACCGACCTGCCCACCCACTCTTGAAGTCAGAGCGTCTTGGCTGGCTTTTGTGAGCCAGGGTGAGATGCCCCCCACCCTTGCCCCGAGACCTCTGGGTGCGTTCCAGACGAGATTCCCCCACTGCCCCCAGATCTGTACTCCCATCTTGAAGGCCCTGGGTCTAACAGTGCACCCTAGAATTTGCCTTTGCTGAAAGTCAGGGTTGGGCCAAGGGGAGCAGATCGATATGAGCCCTTGTTCTCTCTCTTCCACTCAGCACCCCTCCACAGGTGGGGGGAATACTCAACAGCCTCAGACCCCCGCCCCCACAGTACCTGGATTGCTGACATCTTCTCAGAAGGTCTGGCGTCCCCGGGTCACAGGAAGGCCGCCGTGTCACTTGGTACCATGAGAGCTGCCGGGAGAAGGGGAACACCAAGGAGGGGGTGAGGAGTTGGCTCCCCCCCAGTCAGTGGGCTCCCATTCCTTCCCCGCAGCAATGTGAACAGGTACCGTAGGCCTCCAGAGCTGGGACTCGGGCCAGGACCATCCACCCGCTCTAGTCCCAGCAGCCTGAGAGTGCTGGATAAGGGGGAGGCAGGAGCATGAAGGCTATGGACCCCCAGGGACAGAGGAGTCCCCAACCCTAGGCCCACGGGGGCCTTCCAGCCCGACCGAATGGCCAACAGAGGCAAAGGAAGCTCTGGGGTGAGAGCACCAGTGCCACCTGCCCCCCCAGCCCCAGGCCCAGAGGTTAGCTATGTGGTCGGTGGGGGAAGGGAGCCCAGGGCTCTGTGAACCCGGGGAAGGTGCAACGTGACTTGGGAAAGTCACTTTTCTCTGTGGGCCTCTGAGTTCCGCTGCCTATAGAAACGTGCCCGGGCAGTATGTCTACAGTCAAATGTACGCCGACCTCACAGCCCAGCCCTCCCACTTCTAGGCACACACCCAAGAGAAAACAGGGCAGTTGTCCGCTGACAGGGCCACGAGAGCACTCGCGCAGCATGATCTGTCGCCCACCTCACGTTGGGGACGGCTCAGATGCCCATCAAGAGTAAGCTGGCTAAACTGTGGTGACTTCACAGAGCTTCACTGCTCAGCAGCGAACATGAATAAACTGAATAATGAAACCACGGTGATGAATTTCCGAAATGGTATTAATTAAGAAGCCAGACAGAAGAGCACAGGCTGTGTAATCCCATTCACACTGTATGAAGTTCAAAATCTGGCCAAGTCCATGGTGCAGGATGGCAACTGCCCTTGGGAGGGCTCGGTGCCACCGGAAGGGGGCTGAGTTCTCTTTGAGGTACTTCACTGAGCTGCACCCTTATGACTGGGGCACGTTTTGGTGTGGAGGTTTACTTCAATAAAGTTGAGCCCCTCCAAAAAAACCTCCAGCCAACCCACACTGCCAGAGCAGCAAGCCGCTCCAGCCTGCACACCCAGCCTGGCGCCCCCTCGACTGCTGCTGCCTTCCTGAAGCCCAGAGCCCCCGAGCACCTGTCTCAGGAAGTCACGGGGCTGGGGCTACTGTTCTCTGTTGGCAGAGAGGAGACTGAGGCAACTGAGGCTCAGACAGGCCGGGGACTTCTCCATGGTCGCAGGGTGTTAGGAGAAAGCCTCCAGAGTCCTGTTCCCAGGCTCATCTGACAGGATGGACAAGGTCTAGGGCTAGGCAGCAATGCCACCTACCCCAGGCCACACAGTGGGAGGCGACGCTTGAGTGCGTGTGCCCGGGCGTGTGAGGTGAGCAAGGACTACAGGGCTTCCGCGGGTCTCTTGGAGGAGGGAGCCCCAGAGCCGAGCCCTGAAGAGCGGGGAGCTTAGGGACGGGAGGCAAGTGGGAGACGGTGGCCCGGGTTGGGGTGACAGCCGAGCAAGGGGTTCAGGTAGACAGGGCCAGCCGAGAGCAAAGGGCCCGGCTGCAAGCCCACTGGAGGCGGGTGGGAAGCATACCCTGACCATCCGAGCACCCTACCAGTCTGCTGGCGGGGGCTAGTTTGGAGGGGGGTCCGCCTGGCGTCAACCCTGCAGGTCAGCAGGGGCTTCAAACGCCAAACTGAGGAACCAGGGTCTGCTTCTGGGGGCCTCAGCAGGGAAGCGCATGGCTGAGGACAGCAGAAGCCAGGGAGAACCGGCACCCCTTCCAGGCCTCGCTCCTGCTTCTGGTCAGGCAGACCTGGCTCTGTTGAGTTTGCAACTCGGAAGAATGACTCAACCCTTCTGAGCCTCAGATCCCTTACCCTGAAAGGTGGGGACAGGCAGGCCCTGCACGCAGGCTGAGACCCCTGGACTAAGAAGATCTGGCACAGGGCTTGGCAGAAACCCCGTCTCTCTCCTCCAGACAAAAAGGCTTCCCTTCCTCCCAGGATACACAGTGCTTCTTGTCGCCAGAGGCCAGCCCGTGGATCTCTGCTGTCAGCACAGGGAGACTGGGGCCCAACAAGGGGGAGCACAGATGCTCACCACACCGCCCCCACCCCATCAAACACATTCACACGTCTGAGTTGGGGCAGGAACCACCTGCTGGGTTCTTGTGGTCCACAAACCGTGGTGAGCAGTAAGCTCTTCTTACCCCCATTTTATAGAAGCAGAAACTGAGGCTCACGAGGTTGAACAACTTGGGTGAAGTCATACAGCTAGTTAGGGGTGATTGCCCAGAACCCGAATGAGGGTTCCACTGGGCTTGGCTGGGTCCCTGACCTTCAGGCCCTTCTGAACAGGGGCTCTGCTAGCTTTCCACAACCCCATGCCTCCCCCTCCCTCCCCAAACTCACCACCACTGCACCACCAGAGCAGGCATGGAGGCTGGGGCACTGTTAGTCACCCCACCCGCCCGGCTGTCAGTTTGCAAACACCCCCTTCCCCGCCTGCAGCTGCCGCCACCTCCCCACAGACTTGATGATAATAATACAAATAATAACAGGCCCTGTTTTCTGAGCACTCATTCTGTGCCAGGCCCTGTCCTTGGCATGCTATGGCTCATCCAATCCTCTAACGACGGAAGCTATTCTTACCCCCATTTTATAGACGAGGTCAAAGAGGCAAGGTGGCCTTGCCTGAGGTTTACACCTCAAGTGAGCATCCCATCCCACTCAGGTTGTCAGACGCCCGAGCTCCCCGCCCCATGTCCCAGGAGCTGCCATGGGCCGCAGAGAGTGCCGCGGAGGAGAGAAGCAAGCGGGACCCAGAGGAGGCGCAAGCCCGGCTGCAGTGGTCACGGGGAGGGGGGCTTCCTCGAGGGGCTGCGCTCTGACAACCATAGATTCGGAAAGCAGGGGAAGGAGCTGACCCCTCCCCTTTCTTCTACTGGCTAAAACTTCAGGACCTGGTTTCTCCATCTGTACAATGGGTTGGCGATACCCTGCAGCAGCCAGGGCTGCTCTGGAGACTGGAGTGGGCACCTCCCGCACCAGAAGCAGGACCTGCCTTTGCACAGAAATGCTGAGCGTAAGCTGTGGGCTCTCTGACAGCCCCTCCCTGGTGAAGTCACGAGCCCCGGGTGGCTCAGCGGTCTCCCTCCTGCAGGCCAGGGGCCAACCCCCTCCAGGCCAGAGAGGAAGAGCCAGAACAGCTGGGAGGGGCTACTGTGAACCTAGGCCTCTAGTCCTGCCTGGGCCAGGCACACCTGGGTCCTTTTGGGGTTATGGGAGCCTGCTTTCAGGCCACTTTGGGGAGGCAGTGCGAGAACACTGTTCCTGTTCCTGGCTCTGCCACCAATTTGCTGTGTGTGTGACCTTGGGAAAGTCACTTGACTTTTCTGGGACACTTGCTGGCTCTCCAGCACCTCAGCCAGCCCTGTGTCCCACCTGCTGTTCCCACCTCCCTGCCTGGCATTCCTTCTCCACTCCCTCCCTCTTCTCTACCCAAGCAACTTCCTTCCTCTCAACCTCCGGCGCACAGCTGAGGCATTGCTTCTGTTTCACGTGTGCCTACAAAATCCGTCTGTGGCAGCAAGAGATTGGGAAACGATCTTTATGTCCATCGATGAGGGACCAAGTAAATAAACGGCCAGATACCCCTAAGAGGGAATGACAGTTCCAGCGGTGACGGGGCCTGAACAGACCTTTAGGTGCTGACACAGAGCACCCATATGACAGAGCAAGCAGAAATGGCAAAAAGCCAGCTCAAGTCGCTGAAGGAAAAGCTTCTGGGGGGAACGAAACAGTGACACGTCTTCCAGGGACCACCCCACAGATTAATCAGAAAGCAGCAGCAGCACCTGCACAATAGGTAGATCTGGCAGATATCTTGTTAACCATGCGATCGAATTAAGCATCACCCATAATGAAAGAAATGACACTGAGTGCCTCCTGCTAGGACGCATGGAGGAGGGCATAGCATCCTCGGGGTGGGATTCCCGCAGAGCCTGTCAACCTGACTCAAATCAGGAAGATGCAATCAGGCACAGCCTTGACAACTGGCCCGGACTCTTGAAGTTAATGTCATAAAAGACAAAACAAATGGGATGCCTGGGTGGCTTAGTTGGTTAAGCGTCTGCCTTCAGCTCAGGTCGTGATCCCAGAATCCTGGGATCAAGCCCCACATCGGGCTCCTTGCTCAGCAGAGAGCCTGCTTCTCTCTCTCCCTCTGCCTGCCGCTCCGCACTGCTTGGGTGCTCTCTCTGTCAAATAAGTAAATAAAATCTTTTTTTTTTTTTATTTAATGCTTTTTTTTTTTTG